CCTCAGGATGTTCCAAGGGAAATAGGATCCAGAACCAGAGCCTCGAACCCATACCCCAGGGATGGGGACCCCAGCCCACCATCTGTTGGCTGGTCTGTGCATGGGGGTGGTCTTGGGCTGGGTGGGAGGCTCAGTCCCCAGCCTGGGCCCAGCCGAGCAGGAACAGAACCACTACCTGGCCCAGCTGTTTGGCCTGTACGGAGAGAACGGAACGCTGACCGCAGGAGGTCTGGCTCGGCTTCTCCACAGCCTGGGGCTGGGTCGAGTTCAGGGGCTTCGCCTGGGGCACCATGAGCCCCCTACTGGGCGGGCTGCAGCCCCGAGTGGCGACAACTTCACACACAGGTATTCATCTCTCTCCCGAGCCCCAAAGGCGCATCTCCCAGCTCCACTCAGTGCCTGTTCTAGCTGTCTAGTGCTAGGCTAGCTCCCTGAAATGAATCCCCAGAATTACAACTCCTCTACCCCACAGCTGCTCAGCAACCTTAAAGGTCTCCCCTCCAGACCCTTAGGGCCTTCAAGTCCCTGCTCCTGACATGCATGGCTCCAGACTGACCTTCTGGAGCCCTTCTGGCGTCTCCCCCAGACCCACAGCAACCCACTCTAGGCTCTCCTACAATGGCAGCTCTGAGACTTCCCTTTGGCTGTGCCTCCTTCATAAAAGCTCCCAGGGTGGGTGCCTGGGAACTTGAGTCTGACTCTTAATCCATCTAATCTAGGCTGCAGGAACCAGAGCTGAGTGTGGGTGTCTGGACAGGAGTGCCTCTGGGTCCTTCAGGCTGGGGTGACCTGGAGGAATCCAAGACCCCTGACCTGCCCAGTGAGCCAGGGCCCTCGGGCCTAGACCTCTTCCACAGGCTTCTGCTGCTGGACCATTCGTTGGCTGACCATCTGAATGAAGATGTAAGTCTGATGGTCGCTAGAGAGGAGCCATGGGACCAGGTGGCCTGAAGTATTTGAAGAGTCGGTAATTGAATGGTTACTCAGTATTAGGACATGTTATTCTAATAGTGAGAGATATCTCCTTTGACTTTAGTGCAGGCTGACCAAATTCAAGGGCCACACTTAGCAAAAACACTCCAGAGAAGTATCTCAGGGTAGGATGGTTCTGTGGAGAGGTGTCCTGGAGATGACGGCTGTGTCTATCTAGAAAAACAGTCCATTTTTTCCTTGTTCCACATACGCAAGAAGGCAGACAAAACTGCCAGACTCTGACCAGTCGGAATGCCCCATCAAAAGAAGCACTCCGGCAGGGCGGTGGTGGCACACGCCTTTAGTCCCAGCACTCGGGAGGGGCAGAGGCAGGTGGATCTCTGTGAGTTCGAGGCCAGCCTGGGCTACAGCGTGAGTTCCAGGACAGGCTCCAAAGCTATACAGAGAAACCCTGTCTCGAAAAACAAAACAAAAAAAAAATTGAGAAATTTATGTTGAATACTTACATTGGATTGAATACTTACCAGTGATTAGCATACATTAATTATTAAGTTCCCTCCCCGCCCCCCCCCATCTCTAATGCATGTACCAGTGTGAGCCAAGGGGGTCCTGAGAGAGAACTGGGACTCTATTGAAGAACACATGTCAAGACCTGGGCTGTAGCTCCCCGTGACTCCCTAATACACGGTCCTCTCCTCAATCCCAGTGTCTGAACGGTTCCCAGCTGCTGGTCAATTTCGGCCTGAACCCTGTGGCTCCTCTGACCCCTCGTCAGTTTGCTCTGCTCTGCCCAGCCTTGCTTTACCAGATCGACAGCCGCGTTTGCATCAAAACCCCAGCTCCTGCACCTCCAGGAGACCTCCTGTCTGGTCAGTGAATGAGAGGGGTGGGCAACACCCCGCATCTGCCCACATCGCGCCTCGGGGCCAGCCCTGGCCTGACACTAGCCCCCCTTCTTCCTCTCCAGCCTTGTTGCATAGCGCCCTGGCCGTCCTGCTGCTCAGCCTCCCTGCTCCCCTCTCCCTGCTCCTGCTGAAGCTCCTGGGACCTCGTCTATTGCGGCCCGTGCTGGCCTTCCTGGGGGCCCTGGCCGTGGGCACGCTCTGTGGGGATGCCTTGCTGCATCTGCTGCCACATGTATGCGAAACTCCATCCTCACACCCTGACCCCTGGCAGCTAGCCTCCACGGATCCACGTGTCCCTAGTGTAGGACCCATGGCCCTTTCTTTCAGCTCCCGCATCCTGAAAACCCCTCACCCCTGGCTTCAGCCATACCTGCCTTCTATTGGGATGTATGAGTAAAAGCTTGCTACCCCTTCCCTGGGTATAGGGGTTTCCAGGGTCTGCCCTGATCTACTTTCTGACAGGCACGAGGAGGTGGTCACACAGGACCTGGTGAGCAACCAGAGGAGGACCTGGGTCCAGGGCTGTCGGTGCTTGGTGGCCTCTTCCTGCTCTTCGTGCTGGAGAACATGCTGAGACCTGTGCAGCACAGAGGACTCAGGCCAGTGAGTGGCGCCCTTCCTTCCCCTTCTACCCCAAACCGAGTCCTAGCCAAGCCAGGAGGCGAGGGGCAGGCAGCGTGTGCTTCCGGACCTCGGTGGCTTGGCCAACTGCACGGGACTTGTCCGCTCCTGAGTGGGTTTGGGCCTCTTGGCATAGACCCAGGACTTCTGGCCAAATGGCTGCTTTTCCGCCGCTCATATCAACATTAAACAGAGGGAGATGCCGGCCTGGCCAAGGTGGGGGTCAGAAAACATTCTCCAGGTGTTCCCTTTCCCAGCCGCTGGCCCGCTCTCCCCTCAGCCCCTGGCCCTGCTGCCTCCTCCACCAGGAGGGATGCCCTCCCATTTCAGAGATGCTGCAGGAACAAAAGGGACCGTGGAGAACCAAACCCCGACCCAGAGGATGGCAGTGGGATGGTCCTTCAACCCCTACAGGCAGCTTCAGGTGACTGGAGGAGACAGCGAGCACACCGCCCGCCTGTAGCTCCCGCGTGCAGTTACCAGCATCTGTCCTGGTCCTTCTTACCGCAGAGCCAGAGGTTCAGGGCCAGAGGGAGAACAGCCCGTCCCCACCAGCTCCAGTCCCTCCTGGGCACCGAGGCCACGGTCATGCACACCAGGGTGGTAGCAGTATCGCATGGATGGTCCTCCTGGGAGACGGCCTGCACAACCTCACTGATGGGCTCGCATTAGGTTTGAGGCCCGGGGGGGGGGAGCCAAGGTGGGAGGCAGGGCTCGGAACCAGCAGGGACCCGAGAGCGAGCGACCGGGAAGGTGGGCGAGAGCCGGAGGGAGCCCGGAGAGCAGCTCCCGACTTTCTTCAAGAGCTCCCTTTGCTTCTGCGGCTGCCAGGTGCCGCCTTCTCCGACGGCCTCTCCAGCGGCCTCAGCACCACCCTCGCCGTCTTCTGCCACGAGCTGCCCCACGAATTGGGTAGGAACGGCACAAGTGGGTAGCTGGGCTCCAGAAAGGAGACCCCGAGTAGAACTCGGAGGCTGGTGGACAAGCGTGAGGGGCAGCTCCGACTCACGTCCTGTCCCATGTTCCCCCCGACAGGTGACTTCGCAATGCTGCTTCAGGCGGGGCTGTCCTTCCGGAGGCTGCTCCTGCTGAGCCTCGTGTCTGGAGGCCTGGGCCTGGGGGGTGCAGCCCTCGGGGTGGGGCTCAGCCTGGGCCCTGTCCCCCTCACTCCCTGGGTGTTTGGAGTCACGGCTGGGGTCTTCCTCTATGTGGCGCTCGTGGATATGGTGAGGTGTGGGATAGGACAGACAATTCAAGGACGGTGG